CAGCCTGGGAGCACGGCTCCTGACCACACGTGCAGCACTGTGGCATGGATGGAGACATGCACACACAGACACTGTCAGGCTGGCTAAACAGACACACCTTCGGAGTGTCACAAGTTCACTTCCAGAGCTCCAGAGTACAGCGAACGCTGCAGTTCAGTGAGCCGCACTTTTTGTGGTTGCCCAGAGCAGACAAAAGTGACGTTGACACCAGACTGCCGTCTCTGAATAATAATGAACTAACAGCATGACATGAGGAAAAGGTTTGAAATATTATGAGAATGACCAACATGGGACATCTAGGGTGTGGTGACCGGGCTTATGGTGTCTGGTGTAGTGACCAGGTGTAGTGTCTAGTATAGTCACCAGGGATATGGCAACGAAAAGTATGGGGACTGGGAATGTGGTGACCAATGGTGTGGTGAGCTGGAGTGTGGTTACCGGGGACATGGTGTTTGGTGTGGTGACCAGGGGCATAGTATTTGGTGTGGTGAGTGTGACCGAGAAAGGTGACCAGGGGTGTGGTAACTGGAGGTGTGGTGCCTGGTGTGGTGACCAGGGATGTAGTGAGCGGGGGTGTGGTGAGCAGAGGAGTGGGGAACTGGAACATGGTGACTGGTGTGGTGTCTGGGGGCGTGGTGACTAGTATGGTGTCCGGCTGTCCGTAGCTCCTTCCTTGGCAGGTCACAGAGGACGTCAGCAGTGAGTCCTGCCCGCTCTTAGTCCCCAGGCCTGTAGCACAGTGTTCACGTGCAGCAGGAGTGAGCATGATTTTCTGATACTTGAGGAGCCTGCTCTACACCTGGAGGCTCCTGTCCCCCATGCAGGTAGAAGCAGCAGAGACAACACAATGAGCAGTGGCGTGAACTAGTAGTGAGGACTTTCTGGATGGAGCAGCGTGGAGGGAGGGCGAGGGAGGGGCAGCAGAAAGATCTGGGGGAGCGTTTCTGGCAGAGAGCAGACAGAATGTGTTCATATAGGAACAAACCTGGGGAGTTCAAATGTAACCAAGCAGAGGAAAGATTTGCAAAACACACACCTGATACTGGACCTGTATCCGGAACACACAGAGAACCCTCAAAACTCACTCACAAGAAAATCACCCTGTTCAAAGTGTGAGCCAAGATCTGAACAGACGCGTCCTGGACGAGCATACAAAGCAAGCCCACAACAAGATGTTCAACATCTTTAGTCAGAAGGAACATGCAGACTAAAACCACCGTAAGGTGATTCAAGCAACCCTGCTGGCACAGTGGTTAAAGTGCTCGGCTGGCAGTTTGAATTCATCAGCCACTCCATGGGAGACAGTGGTAATCTGCTTCCATAGAGACCAAAAAGCCCCTTCCAAACCCACTGCAAACAAGTCGATTTTGAGCCAAAACAACCCTATTTCAGGTTTCCAAAGCTAAAAATCTTTATGGGAGCAGCTAGCCTTGTCATTCTCCTATGGAGCGGCTGGTGGGTTTGAACTGCTGACGTTGAGGTCAGCAGTCCAGTGCTTATCCCACAGCGCCACCAGGGCTCCTTCCTGTAAAGACTACACTCCTGGAAATCCTGTGGAGCAGACTGTACAGTTGGGCACTTGGGCCACATGCCACCCGGGCTCCGTGGGTCATTACTCAGCCATGGAACGTAGAAAACGCCAGGTAATACCCAGGCTGCATGCTGGGAGAAGCCAGACTGAGGGTGCCCACTGTAAGATCCCCTTCACCTTCCGGAACCTTCCCGGGAGAGGGACCAGATGGATGAGTATAAGCTGAGACTGCCATCTTGGGAGGGGGTAATGCGCTGAGCCCTGAAAGTGATGGGGTCTCAGGTCCTTGTGTTTGTCAATACTCAGAGCACTGTAACAACCCAGCGGGGGCTTCTGTAGTGTCAGCCAGATCACAATTTAAGCCATGGGGCTGGGCTGCTGTGAACTGGGGGAGAGGAGGAGGGAGACGCTGAGGGGGAACAGACTGACATAATTTGAGGTTTGAAATATGGTTAAAATAAAAACCCCAAAACCTGAAAAATTAAGTTTAAAATTCAAAGAAACATATTAACTAAAAATAATTTTAAGGGAATATGCCAAAAACCTAAGTTATAGCTGATATTTATGTGACTAACTTTGCAATTCAAATTTCAAATTCACCCCGCTGCAGTTGAAACAAATATTCTGGGGAGCACTCTGCTCACTGTCTGGGAATGCAAACTGGTTTCTCATGACTATTGGCTAGAAAGGGGCTCTCGTCATTTAACTCTTTACACTCTTGGAAAGCCTGTACAGGGTCGCTATGGGTCGGAATCAACTCGATAGCACTAAACAACAGAATAGGCTGTAATTGGAGAGGCTTATATTTCCCAGGCTGTGAACCGCAAGGTCAGCAGTTAGAAACTACCAGCTGCTCCGCTGGAGAAAGATGAGGCTTTCTGCTCCTGTAAAGATTTACAGCCTCAGAAACCCTGTACAGGGTCGCAATGAGTCTCCACAGCACATAACCACCACCATATGTCCCAGGAGCATGAGGTCCCTATACGGAGGAGGCTTTTAGAATGGGGTGCCTCACGCCACTCTGTAGGTCCTAGGAACAGGCCGGTTTGTGCATAGGGTCTCAGGTGGGCCAGTGCCCCCATTTCTTCTCCACGTCCCCCGTGTGGCCTGTCCTGGTTGGCAGGATGGTCCTGTCCCTGTAAACTCTTTTCTGTGATGAGTGTGAAGCTTGGCATTGGCCTATTAATCCCCACAAGGCATTGTCCTTGCTAGGGTATCTCTTGCAATTACTTAACTCTGAGAAAACAGATCACAGTGAAGGGAGACACAAGGGTCCTGAGAGCAAAGTTTCCAAACAGGATCAGAATGAGGCAGGGAGTGGCTCAGGAAGTCACCAATGCGCCCTCCCGGTCAGAGTCAGATTGAGGGGGAGAAGGGGACGCCCACGGGGGACAAGATGTGGCATGGAAGCTCCAGGATCTCATGTTGTCTGTAACCTCTTATTTTTCACTGTGACAAGCAGCCCTGTGACCACAGAGCCTGTAGTTTAGTGGGATCACAGTGAGCATGGACGTCTCTGGGGGGCCTGCTCAGTCCCACAGGAACCTGCCCACAGGGAGGGAAGATGCCAGGCACGGCGGGCTGTCTGTGGCGCCCAGCCCTTACCGTACACGGGTGATCATACAGCGTGACTATGACAGCAAGCACCTCACCTGTTGCCTGAACCAGGAGTTGGCTCACAGCTCCTCTGGCTGTGTGTCTGACTCTCACTCACCTTGCAGCGGGTAGTGGGGGGGTGGCAGGGTGGCGAAGTCCAGCTTGTCCTTTAGGTCATCTTCATTCTCCTTCTGCCACTGCTGGCCGATCTGCTCCCAGAGGCCAGCTGCTGACTGCCTACAGTGCGACAAGGACACGCACCACATGGTGTCAGTGTTCCGGATGGGTGGTGGCTCGCCTATAGACTCACTACTGCGCTGGGGTGGGGCTCTCGGTAAGCAGCCTCCATTAGTGGGATAGTGAGCGTCCAGTGCTGGGCAGCTTTAGAGGACTGTACGGAGGGTAGTGGAAGGAGGTGGTGGGATTGGACCCACATGCCAAAAAGAGGCAAAGAGTGCACTGCCAAAGCCAGAGCCCCTCCCCACACCCCAGTCCCCCAACAGGACAAGGGGGCCAGGGAGCAGAGAGACTATTTGGGAAAACAGGTGCCTGGTGCACAGAAGACAGGGAGCCAGCTGTGGTGCGTCCCCTCTGTCCCACCTGATCTCAGGGAGCTCATCATCCAGGCTGCTCAGCAACAGCGGGATGAGCTTGTGGAAGAAAGAGTAGCGGTCTCGCAGCTCCAGCAGCCAGGATCCCACCACGGTCGTCACCGCCTGCCGCACCTGCACCAGAGGAAGAAGCCCCATGGTGCATGAGTGAGGAATCAGAGCCTGGTGCTCCAGAGAACGTCCTTCAGGTCGGTCAGCCCCATGGTGCGTGTGTGAGGACTATGAGAGGGATCAGGGTCAGAGCCTGGTGCTCCAGAGAACGTCCTCCAGCTGAGGGCCATGGGAAGGGAATTCTCTCATACTGGCATGCATTCACAGACACTTGGCTGCCTGATGGAAGAATACAGATGATCATTACCTGTGCGACGTCATCAAACAGTCGCTGAGCAAGGTGAGAGAGCACGTCGTCCACAGACTTCCCGCTGCCAAACTGGATGACGGTGCCAGTGGCTTCAATGACGGCCACACGGACCTTCCAGTGTTGGTGGGCGATGGTCTGCATCAGTGGGCCCACCAAGGACTCGGACTGCATGTGGAAGTGGTCTGGGAGGAGGGAAGGGGGACGCAGTTACACCCAGGCCGACTCCCAGTGTGCGTGGAAGTGGGCAGGGTGGTGGGGACAGGGAGGTAGTTACCAGGTCTCTCCCTGTAGCCAGGCCCAATACTTGGCACCCAGGCCAATGCCTACTGTGTGTGGACTTGGTATGGGAGGGCTAGGGCAGGCATCTGACCCTGGCTCTTAGCCAATGCCCACGGTGTATGGAAGTAGTCTGGGGTATAACCTGGGCAAAGCAGGGCCCCTGTTCTTCCCCTTCCTGCTGAGGCCCATGTTCCAGGAACAGGCGTGTGACTGAGGCTTCCAACTAGAGCTCTGTCTCTGTACCCCAGCCAGGGAGAGGCTCAGGCACAGGATTGTGACCTTACCACTCAGGGGCTTCCATCCCCTTAACCTGAAAACGACACATGAGGGAGAGCCTGTAGGGGTGATGGTTCCTGTGGGATGCCAGAGTAGGGTGCTGACTTTACCAGTGCTTAGATCTAGCCATGCCTGAAGCCGCACAGCCCAGAACACTCAGACCTACTGTCCACAGAGTGTCATGTTTCTGAGATCCTAATAGAAAATTCTGAGGGAGAAAGATGAGGCTTTCTGCTCCCACTAAGATTGAAAACCTCAGAAACCCTATACAGGGTTGCTATGAGAAGGAAGAGACTTGACGTAACAATAGAAAATCCCGGGTTGACAATGGTTAAGCACTCAGCTGCCAGCTGAAAGGTCCTAGCAGCAGCTAGGTGGCAGTTTGTTTCTGTGAAGATGTACAGTCTGGAAAGTCCTATGGGGCAGCCCTACTCTGGAGGGTTGATGCCAGTGGGAACTGATCAACGACAGTGGCCATGACTTTAGCAGAAAATTGGGTGAGAAGAGCCGGACTCCATGTCTCGCTCAGAGTCCTGCCCTCGATTCTGCCGCTGTCTCTTCAAGTGGCTATTCCAAACCCTCTCTGGGACAAGGTATTTGAGCTCTGAGACCCTCACAGGACAGTCAGTTACCACCAAGGGTGATGAGAAGTGTGATGAGGACCCACCTTAGGAAGTGAGGGAGGGCAGAGGGGACATGCTGGAGATGTTTCAGCCCACTGCCATGGAATCTGACTCAGTGACTCCATAGGCCAGAGAAGGACTAACTGCCCCATAGGGTTTCCAAGGCTGTCACTGAAAGTATGTATTGGAGCAGATCACCAGGTCTTTGCTCATGGAGAGAGCCAATGAGTGGGTTCAAACCATGGGACGGTCAGTTAGCTTCCGAGCACTTAACCTTTGTGCCACCAAGGCTCCTAGCATTAAAACAACAGCTTTATGTTTATGTGTAGCCAAACAAAACCAAAGCCACGTTGCTGAATCAATCCCAACTAGTGCACAACTGTCCTATAGGGTTTTCGAGACTGTAAATCTTCATAGGAACAGACATGCTCACCTTTCTGGACTGAGAGACTGGTGAGCTTGTGTCACTTGGGCTAGCAACCAAGTGCTTTAACCACAGTGCCACCAGGGAGCCTCCCTAAGCTCTGGCTGCTGGGGGATGCGCGTTACCTGGAGTGGCACGCGCCAGAGCAGTGGCGCACGCGCAGCTTTCACGGCGCACGGCAGCGAAGGGGTCAAGCAGCGTGCAGCGAAGCACGCGCACCGCATCGTCGAGGTAGGGGGCGAGCGCGGTGCCGCCTAGGCTCACGGCAAGCCTGAGCAGCTGCACGAGCGCCAGGCGCAGTTCCTCGCACGGCTCGGCCGGAGGCCGCATTGAAACCTCTGAGCCGGCCAGGCGCGCAGCCAACGCGGGTAACAGGTGTGGCAGGGCGTCATGGGGTCGCGCAGCGCGCCGCAGGCCCAGGTCCAGCAGGTGTGTGGCCAGCGCACGGCAGCCCTCAGCGGGATCGGCCAGGCAGCGCAGCAGGCGAGGCAGCAGCAGGCGCGTCCAGGGGCCCTGAAAGGCGGCGGCGCCTGCAGCGTCGGACGGCCCGGGTTGTACCGCCTCCAACTCGCGCTGCAGGGCCTCCAGAGCGCGCCGCCGGCCCAGCTTGCTGTCGGTTTCCAGCCCCGGCAGCAGGCGGCTCAGGGCACGACTCAGTTCCGCCGTCTCCGCCGTCTCGGCCGGGCCCAGAGGCGCCGGAGTATCCGCTGCCGCTAGCGCCGCCATCTTCCCCGCGTTGCCTGTAACTAAGGGAAACCGATGGTTTTACGACGGTTGCGATGTGGATTGCGGCGCTGCTTCCGGCCTGGCTGCAAATAGAACTTTATTGGCAACGTGTGAGGCAGACAGGGCCCGGCCTGGCGGTGTGTTAACGTCATCACTGTCCGCCTCTTTAGTGACCTTTTAAGTTCCATCGAGTCAGTTCCGACTCACAGCGACCCTCTATAAGGTTTCCAGGAAGAGGCTAATGGGTTTGAACCGCCGACCTTTTGGTCCAGCGTATTTTCCTGCAATGCCACACCAGGACTCGGTATTAAACCGAAATAATATCGGCAGAGTATAGCGTATACTCGGTGCAGGCAGTATCCAGTTAATACCTCTCCCGATAAGGATGCTGTTGCTATTAACACTTTACCTATAGGAAAACCGTTTGGAGAAGTAACAGACCAACACCAAACAAACATCCCCCTGCCACCTCCTTAAAAACATAAAGCTCATGGAGAGCTAATGTGTTACGCGGTATAACTGAGATCCTTAAGCGTTTCTGGCAGTGCACTAGGTCTTCCTTCTGTAGTGCTGCCTTATGGATTTGAACCACCAACATTTCTGTTAAGAGTCAAGAGCAAACACGTGCCCCGCCCAGAAGTCCTTGGGCTCAAGGTCACACACCCCTCAAAAGTGGAGGGTCCTGGATTCAGAGGAGGGGGAGTTCCTGCTCTGGAGCGTCCTCCTAATCAAATCCTACCTCAAAGGAATGTAAGAACATTTAAGAAAGACTCAGTTATATCTAGGAAAAAGACTACATTCTATTTAAATAAAGTAAAAACAAAGAATTGTATTTATGCCAGAAATACATTTTGCAAATGGAAGAACACAATGCCAGGGAAGCTGGGTAATATATGTCGTACCCGTCCCACCCCACCCCCATCCCCCTAAGTGTGTACTTACTAGGCCTTATAAAGACAAACAGAAGGGTACAGCTAAACCTCTTGTGATTGGTTGACATTTACAGAGCGGAGCAAAGGGGGCTTAGAACAAAGTTAGGAAAAAGTACTGGCTTTTGTGAGGACCCAAGTGATAGTTTTTGTGCCACCAAGTCAGTTTTGACTCATTAACCTTGTATAGGGTTTCCAAGGCTGTAAATCTTTAAAGGAGCAGAAAGCCTCCTCTTTCTTCCTCTGAGGGACTGGTAGATTTGAACTGCTGACCTCACAGTTAGCAGCCCAACTTGTAATCCATTACACTACCAGGGCTTCTGAGGACTAGATACAGGTGAATGGAGTGTGAATGTGTGGGGCAGCTGATGGATGTATTTTCTGAGATTCAGCCTACTACTAAAACCACATGCTTAACACTTGACTTTCTGGGAGCTTGACAGAAATATACTCCTCAACACCACTCACTTCTAACCAGCACAGTGTTTTGTAAGACTTTTCATACTGACTCAGGGTAAGAAAAAGGAATTGGGGGCTACCAAGGCATTTGGCCAGCACAGCTGGATACACAGTGGGCTGCTAACTGCAGGGTCCCTAGTTCAAATCTACCAGTTGCTCTGTGGGTGATAGATGAGACATCTGCTCCAGTAAAGATTTGTTGTTGTTGTCAGGTACCATTGAGTTGGAACCGACTCATAGCGACCCCATGCACAGCAGAAAGAAATAATGTCCCATCCTGGGCCAACCTCACTACTGCTGCCACATCTGATGCCATCAATGATGCCACCTGGCTGATCCATCTCGGGGGTCTTCCTCTCTTTCTCTGACCCTCCATCTTAACCCAGCATGACATCCTTCTCTAGCGACTGTTCTCTCCTGACAATATGTCCAAAGTATGAGAGACGAAGTTTGGCCATCTTGGCCTCCAAGGAGCACTCTGGCTTCACCTCTTCCAAAACAGATCTATTGGCTCTTTAGGCAGTCCATGGCACTTTCAGTATTCTCCTCCAACACCACAATTCAAAGGCCTCAATTCTTCTACGATCTTCCTTATTCACTGTCCAGCTTTCGCATCCATATGAGGTTATTGAAAATATCATGGCTGGGGTCAGGCGCTGACCTTAGTCCTCAAGCTGACATCTTTGCTCTTAGCAACACTTTAAAAAAGTTCCTGTGCAGCAGATTTGCCTAATGCAATATGTCGTCTGATTTCTTGATTGCTGCTTCCACTAGTGTTGACAGTTGATCCAAGAAGAATGAAGTCCTTGCTTAAAATGTGAGACCCTTGTAGTGATGGTTCAGTTAAAAGCCATCGTGATTGGGGTGGTGGCTACATGAAGCTACACATGGGATAAAACTGCACAGTTGGACACATACACACACACACACACACTCACATGAGTTGTCTTGGGGGTGGGGGAGTGGGAAGCCTTCAAATCTATTTAAAATAAAAAACAAAGAATTTTATTAATTGCATAAAAATGCTTTACAAATAGGATAGGATAGCAAGCAAGCCTGGCGATGTGCCTCCTCTGTGACTTGGTATTTCTCGACATTACTAAAGCTAACAACCACAAATGGGCATACAGTGGCAATAGTTTCTGACTGGATAACAATTGCAGAGTTGCAGGTGCCAGGATCTTGGCGAACCATTGTTAACAGTTAAGGTTTTATGTCAACTTGGCTGGGTCAGGATTCTCAGTGGTTTAGCAGTTAAGATGTAGTTCTCACCTCCATGATGAGATCTAATATGATATTGTCACCTCCCCATGATGTCATCAGATATGATCAGCCCTGTTCCTATGCCATTATCCTGTGTGCTGTCAATCCTGACTTTTAACATGCTAATGAAGTCAGATGCATGCTACAGGACTAAGTTGTTTGTTGACTTGAGCTCCTATGTGATATAAATGAGATTAAACAAGCAAGCAGAGCTCAGAGGGGCTTCCTACCATCAAGGAAGAAGAGCTGGGAGTGGAGTGTGTCCTGTGGACCTGGGGTCCATGTGCTATAAAGCTCCTGAACCTAGAGGACGATCTCGAAGGAACCTGGGCCTATAGATGCTGGAAGGAGACAAGGCCCAGTGTCCAAAGCCAACACAGAGAACGCCTTCCTCTAGAGCGGGCACTCTGAATGTGTACTTCTGGTCTTGTAAACAGTGAGAAAATCAATTTCTGTTTGCTAGCTCTGGTAGCGTAGTGGTTACGAATCGGGCTGCGAACCTTAAGGTCAGCAGTTCGAAACTACCAGCCGCTCCGCGGGAGAAAGATGAGGCTTTCTACTCCCGTAAAGATTTACACCCTCGGAAACCCTGTACAGGGTCGCTATGGGTCGGAACCGACTCGATGGCACTTAACAACAACAACAACAAGGGCAGCTACTTATGGTATTTCTGTTCTTGCAGCACTAGGGAACTGAGGCAGACCACTTTGGCAGAAGTTAGCCTCCTTTTGCAAAGAGGGGCTTCAGGTGACTAAATTTCTGATCACTAATTTCTTAGAACAAGTTCAAAATTGTAAGTATTTTCTAAGTACAAAGCTTAAGCATAAATTAAAAAAAAAAGGGGGTGGTGGTGGAAAAGCTTTTAATTAGGGATTTCTAAAAGAGATAGCTCAACCACTAAAATCACACATTTAACACTAGGCCTGACTCCCTCAAATGAGTTCTGTTTAGCTTTAGCCATTTTTAACCACAGACGAGTGGGAATAGGCAGAGCAAGATGAGCTTCCTCTTAAGAATGGTTTCTCTCTTAAGCTGAGTTTTAGAAGAAAACAAATGGTTTTTTTTGTTGTTGTTGCCTTGGATTCTGTTCATGTTGTTCCCATGTGTTTCAGAGTAGAACTTCCTCAAATTTTTTTTTTATAACTTTTTATTGTGAATTGAGTGAAAGTTCACAGATAGGATCATCAGCAAATCACACACTTTGTTTCATCTCAATGATTACAATCCCCTCCCTGCAACCACAGTTATCCCACCTCCTTCCTCTGGTTTCCATTTGTATCTTAGATTTCACAGATGAACAGAGCAAAAATATTGGATGTACATATATAAAACAAAAATTACATAGTCACTGAACTGTCTAAAGGGCACAACAAATGGCATTTTTATCCAAATGGGGTCAATCCTGTCAAGTAGGAAAAGTCCAAATTCAGTTAAGATTTTTTTTAGCCACTTCAATGCCTTCATTTTAAATGCTTTTCCTCACAGTGTACACATAGCTGACAGAATCTGAATAAATTCTCGATTGTATCAAGGTCAGCATTCTGATGTTGCTATGATACTGTGTAGGTGATAATATATAATCATGCAAGAAGTTATGGGATGGGGGAGGTGGGGCGAAGGGTCGCTTAGGACTTCGCTCCCCAGGCCACTGATACTTCTCGCGACTCTAATTATTTCAAAGAGAGGTGACCCAACGGAATGTGGAAATAATCAGACAATCTCTTTGATATCCCATGCTAGTAAAGTTTTATTAAAGGTAATGCAGAAATGGCTGGAAGCATACATTGATGGAGAACTTCCAGAGGTTCAAGCCAGATACAGAAGAGGACGTGGAATGAAGGATATCATTGCTGATGTCCAATGGATCTTGGCTGAAAGAGAATAACAGAAAGATGTTTACATGTGCTTTATTGACTATGCAAAGGCTTTCGGTTGTGCGGATCATGACAAGCTATGGACAACATTGCGAAGTCTGAGTATTTGGGAACACTTAATTGTGCTCATGAGGAATCTGTACCTGGACCAAGAAGCAATTGTTCGAACAGAACATGGGAACACTGAATGGTAAAAATTAAGAAAGGTGTGCGACAGGGTTGTATTCTTTCACCATGCTTATTCATCCTGTATGCTGAGCAAATAATCTGAGAAGCTGGGTTCTATGAAGAAAAACGTGGCATCAGGATTGGAGGAAGACTCATTAATAACCTGCGATATGCAGATGATACAATCTTGCTTACTGAAAGTGAAGAGGACTTAAAACATTTACTGATGAAGGTTACGTTGAGATGTAATCCAGCCTTCGGTATGGATTACATCTCAATGTAAAGAAAACAAAAATCCTCACCACTG